CAGTTTTGGTGTATAGATCATGCCCCTGCAGTCTCACTGCTCAATTATCTGTTATTTAGGAGTTAGATCACTTGTTTATGCAGACCTAGTCACACCCCCCTGCATGTGACTTACACAGCCTTCCCAAACACTTCCTGTAAAGAGTCATCTAATGTTTATACTTATTTTATTGCAAATACTGTTTAATTTAGAATGTCTTGTTTTCATGTGGACTGTGTCAGTCACAGCCAGGGGAAGTGTGGCTATTGCTGCATTAACAGAAACAAAAGTGATTTAACTCCTAAATGGCAGTAAACTGAACAGTGAAACTTTAGAGTTATGATATATACACAAAAACTGCTTCACTACGCTAAAGTTTTTCTGTATACTACAGTGTCCCTTTAATTTAATGCAATAAAATGACAAAGAAAGAAAGGGTATCACATAAGCAAAGATACATTTAGTTACAAGACATTAATATGGAGCAATATATGCTGTATTGAAGAGAAGTATGTCAGAAAGCATTGCAACACTCCTCAAATAGCTGGCCTTAAATGGACACTATAGGCACACATTCTCTTAACCCTGCAATGTAAAACATTGGAATTTCAGAGGAATTGTGATGTTTACGTTGCAGGGTCAAGACCACCTCTAGTGGCGATCTGCCGTACAGCTACTAGAAGAGTTTCCTGCTGTTTCACGGAGTTTAACGCAGTGTAACACGAGGATGTCCAGCGTTTTCAAAATCCCCATCGGAGAGCATTGATTCAATGCTTTCCTATGGAGCAGGTCTAATGAGCATGCACCGTTAGCCACATCTGCGCACTAGGTTCCCCCCATTGCAGTGACGTTGAGGAAGAATGAGATAGATCCAACACTGAGGGACCTGGAAAGAGGTAAGTAGAAAAAAAATGGGGTTTAACCCTTCAATCACTGGGTGTAGGGGAAAGGAGGCAGAGGGGCACTATAGTGCTATAAATACAGTTTTGTAATTTTCCTTTAATGAAAAAATATCACAAACGTCACAATTCTTCAGAAGGTTTAGGTCAACAACATTGAAGATGAAGGAACTCGACAAATTGACACAATGAGGGAGGACCTTCAAACTGATTAGAGAAAAAGAAAGGACATTGTGCAGCAGAAAGAGACCTCTCAAACAAGATCATAGGACAAGGATGCGTATATGTTTGTCTGGCTACTAATGAATTGAATATGTGTGGATGTTTAGGACTTTAAGTGGCTGTTTGCATGTGTGTGTGGCAAGCTAAATGTGTGCCTGACTGGCTTGTAATGTATGGATATCTAGCTTGTTATGTATGTGTAATGTGACTAGTTATGTATGTATTTACCAAGGGTACGTTTAATTACATGTATTGACTTAATCCTTTCCTGCAAACACCATCTTATACCACTCTCTATGTAAAACTCTAAACCCTAACATATACATATATCTATAGACCAAATCACAACACCAAAAGTATGAATGCATACCACCCAACTGTCCCAAGTTAGGAGCTACAGTCCCTACCCCAATCCCTCTCATCTTTCTGTATGTCTCATTTTTTTAGGTGCTGAATATTGTTTGTGTATCTCAGTGTATACCAGATATTCAAAGCAATAACATTCAAGGTAATGTGTCTTTAACATAAATGTGCTTAGAGATCAGTCTGTGTAAATAGGATACATAGTTCTTATTCTAAATTATTTGTTAGTTGAATAAATTGTCACTAGTATGTCATCTAAATTTTCTCAGAACAGCCTCGGCCCATGGCTACTCCCACAGTTACACACCTAAAATTAAAGTGTCCCCCTCTTTGTCCATTGGCAATGCTGAGAGGTATGTAGAATGCATTCGCATAAGCTGTACACCTACTCAATGAATCGCACACCATGCTGTATTAACCCTGCATGCACCTGCAGCTTTAGCCCTGAACTTGCAGACTCACTAGCAACAAGCAACACCCCCGAGTGTCGTAATTACGTACATATGTATTACATGTATAAACATGCAATTACATTCATGACACATAGTCACACACATATCACATACTTTTAGGGGAGTTAACGGAAGGGTGCTGCAAACCACCCTGGCTGTTTGATTGACATGGGGGATGTTCCCTAGTTAATTTATATAAGTGCTGTTTTCTCCTAGAAATCTGAACTTTTATAAACTAGTGTCGAACTTTAATACTTCTCACCCATAAAGCACCTTAGCAAATTAAAGTTATTTTGGGGTGGGAGTTATCATTTAATTTACAAACTATCTTGCCTATTCCATGAATCTGTTAGATTATGATAAAGTTTATATGGCGGATGCATATGCTTAGCTCTGCAACCAAAAAAAAAAGGTTAAATACATTGCTGACCAACATTATAAACTCCCAGGTTGATTTAAATCTTATGATGTCTCTTATGTGCATAGGTAGGAGTTGAACGTAAACATTAAATTCAATATATCAGATCATATTGATAATTTTGAAGTGTGAATGGACAAAATTGGGATACAGCTGAATAACTAAAAAACATAAGAATACATAGCACATACTGAAATACCGTCACAATAATAAAATGTAAACCTCAATGATTGCACTCACAAAATAATGATGAATAATGCGCCTTTAAGCCCTCAAAGGGCTGCAATAGTATTCACCCTCCACGGATAGGTTGCTCTGTCTTCCAAGAAGTGGGAGTATGCCAATACAGTATAAAAAATCATTTTATTGTTGAAGGCACTAACAAGCCTATATTTTACATACTGTATATACTGCAAAATTTTCTCTGATGAAGTCCAATTTGTATGGACGAAACGCGTTAGATTGCAGTACTCTTTTTATATTTTAATTATTGATTTTTGATATAGGCTTGTTAGTGCCTTCAACAATAAAAGGATTTTTTATACTGTATTGGCATACTCCCACTTCTTGGAAGACAGAGCAACCTATCCGTGGAGGGTGAATACTATTGCAGCCCTTTGAGGGCTTAAAGGCGCATTATTCATCATTATTTTGTGAGTGCAATCATTGAGGTTTACATTTTATTATTGTGACGGTATTTCACTATGTGCTATGTATTCTTATGTTTTTTAGTTATTCAGCTGTATCCCAATTTTGTCTATTCACATATCTGTATTTGAGGTTCGTTTGGGGGAAACCTCTTGGGAAGCTGTATTCATCTAATACTCAGTTAAGTACCTTTGCATATTCCTACCACTGAGTTGGTTAGGTGCATTTGTATTTCTTGTGTATATATTTGTTTTTTCTTCTTTTTCTTTTTTTTCTTTTTATTGATAATTTTGAAGAAACAGATGAAGACAAGCCACTAGTTGAGAACAGTAAGTGTCCTAAAATTTCTCAGAACAATCCCACCACTGATCACACACCACCCTCTAAAATTAAAGTGTCCCATTTTGTCCGCTTGATATGTTAGGCATTTGCAATGTGCAATATAAGCATTGAAGCAGGGATACAATTTTTGTCACATACAGCAGTACAAAAAAAAAAAAAATAGATAAACCAGGTTGATTCAAAAAAGATCAATTCGAAAGTGAAAACATGCATATTGCGTTTTAATGTATATTATTATTATTTAATTTAATAAATAAGCATGCATTCATTATTTTAGCACATGTAGAATAGAGCATTGGAAATGCAAGTCAGCAACCAGCATGGAGATTTTCTAAGACAGGTGTAGAATTGAAATAGCCTTGTAACATTGCCAGCCTGTCATTTGAGAACAGTGTCAGTAACTACCTAACTATGAGTTGTGAATGTATTAATATTCTACGTACACTCTCACTGCAACAACTATTTTTACTAGCAGACAATTCTGCACATTAGGTAATGCAATGATCGTTTAAACAAAGAAAGCTTTGTACAGCTATTTGCATTGTACCAAGTGACAATAAAAACCATAAACTTGTGACGTCACAATAGTCAAGTTGCTTTTAGGAACTACATGCCAAAAGCAATATACCAAGGTTATAGGGAAATAACTACAATATACAACACAATAAAACTAACATAGTTTGGGATAAAATGTCTGGCATTGTGATCTTAGGCAACTCTAAAATCAAGGAACAAAACCCTGTTACATTTTAGACATAGCTGTTACAGGGACACTGCTAGACAATAAAAAAAATCATTCTGTTTTTATTTATTTTGTTAAATAAGCAGTTGTAAACATAAAAAATAAAAATGTATCAGTATTACGTTATTGAAGTTTTAACATATACTATTTTAAAAGCCAATCAACATATATGGCGGGAGCAATAGTCAGCCAATCTCAGCCCACTCCTCAGGATCACTTGGGGAAAGTACCATTTATTGGAGAAATCAGACTGGGCTAGTTTGAGGGCAAGTGGCCTATGATGATGACACACATTCATTTTGACCGTTTGGACTTCCGCTGTGAATTGAACGCGACACAATAAAAATCAACATGGAGACATGAACACAACGGCTGTAGGGGAAGATGGAGCAACTTAAATTGTTTTTGTTGTTCAGTTTAATTGGAGAATGATTAAAAACAGTGTTGTTGTTTCATTGTTAAAAGTTTATAAATTGTATCTAAAACTAAAATGTTGGTAATGTAACAAGCCTCACAAAGTTGAAAGCACAATGTTGCACCCTAGAATGTTTCATTATTACAGATTGCAAGAATGGGAAGCTTGAACACAAAATCTGAAAAGAAAAGGACAAGACACGCAGGGATACAATTAATGATTGACTATTTCGACGCTGTGGTACTCTAGTCTAACTCTAGCAAGCTCTAGTTTCTAGTTTCTCAGCCCGTGTAGCAGG